TGGACAGGTGTCTTTTATACTGATAACGAGTTCAAACAGGTGCCATTAATACAGTTAACAAGTGGAGGATAGAGGAGGCTCTTAAAGAAGAAGTTACAGGTCTGTGAGAGCCAGAAATCTTGTTTGTTTGTTGGTGACCAAATACTTATTTTACCGAGGAATTTACCAATTAATTCATTAAAAATCCTACAATGTGATTTCCTGGCTTTTTTTTTTCTCATTTTGTCTCTCATAGTTGAGGTATACCTAGGATGAAAATTACAGACCTCTGATCTTTTTAAGTGGGAGAACTTGCACAATTGGTGGCTGACTAAATACTTTTCTGCCCCACTGTACACAACTACGGTGTAGTTATGTAATGAATTAAAAACTCTGGTGGAAGGTTCCTCAACAATGCAATTAAATGCAAAGTTGGAGATGAACTAGCGACCCGGCAGCCATCCACGGCGCCATCTACTCACCAAGGGATTCAATTCAAGGCCATTTAGGGACCTTGCCTTGAATTGACTCTCCCATACAGGTTGGACTTCTTGTGTTCATTTTGTGTTTACTTTATCTGTTTGGACATAACGTTGTCTATAATGTATCATATGTATCGGTGCCTCCCTTGTATAATAAATTAAACAAAGAAAAATGCTCACATTGGAAACACTTAGGTAATCAAATTACAAATATGTACTTATTTAGAAGAAAGGCTGCATAAAACAATATATAACCACATATTAAAAATATGCACCCACATCAAAACACAAGAGCAAAAAGTACAGTTTCATGGCTGAGGTCAACATGGCACTGACCTCTAAAAAGCCCTATCACTTTTAACAACTGAATGTATAACAGAAGGCTGTTTGATTCCAAAATAAAACTAGCCTCTGGCTACATTATTTACTTGTGATCCTACAAATGAACAGACACTGGCTCTTTACTCTGGAGTATTTTGAACCATTGTTTGTACCCATAGGCGACACACGATGAAGCTTATGTTCTACCCAGAGCTGTACTTTTCCTTCCGTTTTAAATTACTATCTTTCAACACCGGTTTGAGTGGGGACTTTAAAGAAGTACTGAATCACCTTCAGTTAGTTCTTGAAAATGTACTTGAGTTTTGAATTCATATTTGTATAATATGTTACAAAGAGGAGGGTAGGCTTTAGTTTACAGTGTTGTGGGGTTTTTTATGTGTCTAAAATATGAATTACTTTGATAAACGCCTTTATAATATAATACAATAAACGAATGTTTGCCTTTTCTTGGTTTTTCATTGGTACACCAGCACTGGTTTAGCTGTACGTAAAGCTACAGCATGGGCTATAGCTACAACAGCATGGTTGTGTGAGGAGAACAGCCTAGAGGCGGTGGGCGGGACTCGCGGTTTCAAGTCAGACAAACGGTACAGGAAACTATTTATAACGGCACTCCATTGGTCTGCATAACTACAGATCACTGACGTCGGCAGCATCCCATTGGTTGTGGGTCAAGGCATCAGTTTAGCTGGCAGACAACGTGAAAGTGTTACTCTCTCACATTGCCACATTACCCACACGTTAGTATTATTTGTGGCCGTGCAGTTCTGTCATGGAGCACATAAAAGATGGATGGTTTACTGAATCATGCGCGCTATGGCCTGGGCAAGCAATGAGCCTTCAAGTAGAGGAGGTCCTCTACCACAAGAAATCCGATTTTCAAGATGTTATGGTTTTCAAGAGGTGAGTACTTTCAGCTAAAAAACTTGGTTGCTAGCTGTGTTAGCGTGTGTCGTCAATGAATGAGCAACCTGAAGCTCCTGGGATCGGGAGAAGTTTCTTCAGCTGTTAGCTTAGCTGAGTTATTGTTCAGTTTGCCCCTAAACACATTTGTCTTGCAAACACACTAGCTAGGTAGAAAAGAAAGACATAATATGGATGAGTAGGCAAGGTGGTTAGTATTTATAGTTTTTGGCTAGGAGGAGTAACGTTAACGGGTCAGTCAAGCTAGCAATATCTTGTCTCTAATATCTCTATCCTGTTTAAGTAATGTAAATATTCGTGATTAGTTCATTACACTAGCTTCAAATGTAATGTGCCTCTCACTTTGCTGCAACATTACTTTTCAGTAAAACCTATGGGAATGTTTTGGTGCTGGATGGAGTGATTCAGTGCACTGAAAGGGATGAGTTCTCCTATCAAGAGATGATAGCCCACCTTCCCTTGTGCAGTCACCCCTGCCCCAAGAAGGTATGGCTCAGATGTGTTGAGACATTAATCTATCTGCAGTATGGCTGAGTCATGTTTCCTGTGCTAATAGTCTGCCTGTTTTCAGGTGCTGATTATTGGAGGTGGAGATGGCGGAGTGCTACGGGAAGTGGTGAAGAATCCACTGGTGGAGTCGGTGGTTATGTGTGAGATAGATGAGGTGAGAGCAACATTACTTTCAATAATAGGTGTCATTTACGCTGGTGACATGTCCCCACCCTTTTTTGAGATGGCCAATTGTGTATAACTTTTGACAAATGTTCTAAAAAAACACAACTAACATGTACATCTTGAGAACAGTGCGCCTGTTCACACTTGCCGGGTGTATTTCGGGGAACCAAGATATACAATTTGGAACCTCAAATAGAAAATGTAAAAACAAACATTGCCCCCACTTCGCAGCAGGGCGTATGCACTGCACTTTCCTATATTATAATGCCCAAAAAAAGAATAAATTCAACAGTTTTGTTTAAAGTAAGATCTGTGTTGACGTTCCCTGGGAGAGTAGAGATGTCTCCTTACTGATTTCACTTCTTCCTGTGGAAAACTCTTTGAAGCTCTGACAGCAAGTCTCACACCAGGGTATGATTCTGCGGCGGCGCAGAGTACATCAACAACTGTCTCAAAGCGGACACTGGGCAAACAAATAACACTTATGTACAAACCGCTGTTTACAGAATTTCTTTATCACCCACCTTTCGGTGGTGATTTGCAGAGCAGCCACAGCATTGAACAAGTCAATATTTGGAAGCTTAAAAGTTTGCTAACTTACCTATCAAGCAAGTTAGAGATTTATTCTATGCTTCATTTAGTCTATGATCTTAATTACACCTTACTTTTAATGACCACAATATATATATGACAATATGATAGCAACAAACTGTCAGACTTGTTCGGCGACCATGCTAACATCCCCCATCTATCACCAGAGAGACTTTACGAACAGCATTATGATGCCGAACATCACAGATTCTGTGTAAAAGGATAATTTGATCCTAATACAGCACCTAAGTAATCACTGCTCATTTCCATGTCTTCTGTGAAGGATGTCATTAATGCGTCGAAGAAGTTCCTCCCAGGGATGGCCAAAGGGTTTTACAGTCCCAAGCTCACCCTCCATGTTGGAGACGGCTTTGAATTCATGAAGAAGAACCAGGATGCCTTTGACATCATTATAACCGATTCCTCAGACCCTGTTGGTAAGCTAACAACACCGTTGTTTGCCACAACTGCTCATTGAGGCAATCCAATTCTGAGTTATGATTGTATT